GCTTTAGAACATTCAACTAATGCATTGTCAACAGTTTCTGAGGTTTTAAGTCTAGATGCAATGGATTGCCTGCGATACCCTTTAACTTTCTTCTGGAACTCATCTCCACAATGAATGCAAGAACCTGCCATTCTCAATTTTCAGTTAAAATGTCAACTGCGCATGTTTCGTCATTGTCATGTGATCAGGTCGCATGACAGAGGTCATCTTGAAATCCGTCGTTCAATCGATTAAATTACGTTCGGTCTAATTATACACAGAAATATATACTTTTCAAGAAGAAATAGTCCTTCATTTTCGGTCAGTAGATACGTAAGATGTTTGTGTTTGCAAGGATAACTTTTATTCGTTTTAAATTTCATTGAAATCGTTCGATAACATCAAATGCAGTTTAGCAGCTCTTATTGGCCGCTTAAGCTATTTTGATATTACGTTGCGGCCATAGAGCTGCTCAGCAAGCCGATATGGTGATAGCTCCTTGGGCTGTTGTATAAGCACAGCGTTAATAAAATAAACCGTGCACTCTTGAGTTGTCAAAAATTGCCTTCTCCTTTCCTGGTAGAGACCTGTCTTACAATATGGTGAATATTCTAGTATTTGTTGAGGAGAAAAATACCTTGATGAAGGAGACAAATCTGTCCGCTGGAGCGGGGGCCGCAACGGTGTTTTTGTGCAGTTAGTAGGGGCGCCTGAGAACTTTGCAATAATTAGATATTAACTTTTATCCTTCATAAATACTGCCAGTTTATGGTATTATTGTACTGCATGCAAGGTCCAACAGTTACATCTAGTAACGGGCAAGTTAGATTAACTATGGAAGTAAAATACCAGTACGTCTTTATTTGACCTCCATAGACTAACGACCGACACGGTTATGTGTCGGTCCACGCCATTTGTCAATGACGTCTCAGAAGAGCCTCTCATATATCAGTCGTCATCGCCAAATAACCCCGCAGCTTGTTCTATAAATAGTATATACCAGTTGTCATAAATGATTAATAAAAACACGATAACTTACCGCAGCATTTTGATCAATGTCTCTGAGAGCCATGTTTACTTATTTAGAGTTGCCGCGCTCTACTGAACCGAAAGTTTCCGAAAATGACCGATGTCTTAGCCGAAGGACTAAATTGTCGCCCGCTCAGTAAAAAAATTAAAATTCTTTCGTTTTTCCTGTGTTCTATTTCAGTTTTTCATCAACATTCTGGTAAATCATTTCGTTTACATTTTTCTTAAAATTTGAATCATGTGACAAAAGTTTACAACACTAGTAACAAAAGATAGTGTCTTAATCTCAGAGGAAAACGTGGATAATGGAAACCTCTCACTGAATGCTTATCAATGTAAAAAATATAAATAGATCAACAATTTTACCATTCTCATGACAATTTCTTTTCTTTTCTCAAAAAACATTTTCACTCAAACTTAGCGTTCATACATTTTTGGGGAACAATAATATTTTATTTTCAGTTCGGTCCAAACTTATAAAGTTTCTATTTCCTATTCTACAAAGTGATAAAGATGACCACAGCGCTCAAGAGATAATACTATATTTGATATGGAAACTGAAAATAAAATGGTTTTCAAGTCTTCGTGACACACAGGCCAGCAAGTTTAAGAATGGCTTTTTCTGTTGTCTGTCAAAATATTGTAGAAAAAATGCTAGTCGTTACTGCACCATTTTTTAACAACTTAAGAACATTAACATTTTAAAAAGCCTAACTATTACTAAAGTTGTCACCATTTTCATGTGTAAAGGAATTTCGAAATGATATGAAAATTGATCTTTACAACCATTCAATGACCCTAAATGTCATACTAGTATAGTTGTCAGCATGTGCACAATGGTAAATGAGTCTAGTATGTAGATTCCATGACCCTTTTCTATTACTAATCAGTTTTCCGATATTCGCCGCTTTTGGGGCTTTACGTTCTTATTGAGCTAACAATCCCATGTACATTTCTCTCAAAACAACACATCAACTATTGTAAAATGTGAATTGACTAAATGTTTTTACCATAGAGGGCGCAATCCGTCATAATGGCACAAGCTGACATACTGGTAGTACCCAATTTAATTAAGCTAACTATATAACTGGTATACTATCAAATTATTATAATTATTATCAAAAAATGGTAAAAATGTTCATAGCGTAGATATTGTTTGGTTTCGTAGTTGTCTACATTGAATCATGGGGTAGCACACATATACATTGGTCAAATTCATTAAATCGTGTGGTGGCATAGATTTTTTGAAATTTATTGAAACTATTACCTTTTGAAATAGAGATTTAAAGAATCACCAGATATTACGCGACTGATTAAGTAAACTAATATTATCTAGATACATTTGCACTCCGTCTGCACCCACGGGGCCGCAGCCACTGTGTTTTCACACCCCATCACTCATATTTAATGTAACAGGTAGTGTAATCACACATATTTAATGTAACAGGTAGTGTAATCACACGTATTTATTGCAACAGGTTGTGTAATCACACATATTTATTGT